CTCCAACGGTTATTGGTAGAGTGGGAGAGGTTATATCATTGATGGCTACGCATTGGTGTATCACTAAGATAGGATTGGATATAGTCTAGGGCATGGCCTCGGATTCCATAATGATGTAGTTGTGATTAACAGTATCAAAGGCCTTTCTCAGGTCAATGAAGGGTTCAATCGGAAACTCATTTTTGTCAAGGGCTGAGTAAATTATATCAAGGAGACTAATAATTGCATCGTTGGTACTCTTTTGGGAGCGGAAGCCAAACCGACAGGGGCTGAGTATGTCGAATTTTAAGAGGTAGAAGTAGAGCTGTTTGTAGATAATTTTTTCAAATATTTTTGATAGTATGGGTAGGTTTGATATTGGTCTATAATTGTTTAACTCTGTCGGATTGCCTCCTTTATGAACTGGCGTTACTCTTGCTTTTTTAGGGATATCAGGGTAGGTATGACACTCTAGGGATTTGTTGAACAGCAGAGCTATAGGTGGCGCAAGGGCATGGGAGGCGCTCTTGTATACAATGGATGGGATTTCACTGATGTTCCCAGCTTTGGTTTTTAGTGAGTGTATGATGGGCACAACATCTGTCGGGCTGACTGGTGACAGAAGATAGTTTGGATAGCTGCCTGAGGGATATGTGTTAATATGTGTCTGAGTCTGTGGGATTTTACTGGCGAGGTTAGCACCAACAGCCATTTCTAAATCAGTTGACAATGTATAGCCATCCTTAGAGAGTGTTATCGGGTTGTGGGAGTATAGTTTAGTTCCTAGGATATTAGAGATGGTATATCAGGCATGATGCAGCAGAGTGAGTGAGTGAGTGAGTGAGTGAGTGAGTGAGTGAGTGAGTGAGTGAGTGAGTGAGTGAGTGAGTGAGTGAGTGAGTGAGTGTGTGTGTGTGTGTGTGTGTGTGTGTGTGTGTGTGTGTGTGTGTGTGTGTGAGTGTGAGTGTGAGTGTGAGTGTGTGTGTGCTCAAAATAACAACTAGTAAACAACATCCTCAAGCACCATGGCTGTACCTTTGACAAACCGCCGGCTTCCTGTCCCCGTCGAGGCCGCTAGAGATGGTGGTGGCCCTTACGAGCATTTATCATACGAGTAATCCTCTCTCCCCCCTCGTTCTGAATCATGCTCATTAGGCTAGCCTGCATTCTCCCCCCCCCCCACAACTCTACACAATCTCTGACCCCTCCAATGTCTAGTTTCATTCTTATTTACATCAAAATATGTAAAATGATTTATATTTGGTGTTGGCTAACCACGGGCATGGCAATTAACGCCACCACAACAGCCCCCAATGACCAACTAGTGGGTACATCTGTGGCTGCCACCTGACACTCACGGCTAGGTTTTACCTAAATACATCTAACAGATAATAACGAATAACTTAATATTAACCTCACACGGAAACACCACTTCCTCTTATTATGATTGAACATATATGGCTGTAACAAAGATTGATTGTACTCACAGGAAATCAAACTCAGAACCGTACCACACGCCTGCTGGACGTCTAATGATTTATTTTAAAGTGGGGGACCCGGACACGCAACTCACCCGTGTTTGACCATAATATCAAAACTGTCAACCTGTAATACTGTTCAGCTTCTGACCACCAGAGGCGCTAATGCATTCTCATTCTCCCTCGCACACTCTCTCTCTATCCATATAATGATTGCTGTCATAGAAGGGTAGCAATAGCCTATACTATTCTATCGCTTTGTACGGGCTCACCATAGCCCGTGCTACTTGGAACTTGTTCCGAGTAGCTGAATCTATAACAACAATAACAATCTATCGCTTTGAGATGTATTTTCTTGTGCTCGGACAAGCTCCCGTTACGCGTGCCCTCTCGCCCGTGACCGTGGGCGGCGTTCCTCCGAGGGGGCGGCTTCAGGGTTCCCCGTGTCCCGGTGCCCTGCATCTGAGGAGCATTTCCGAGCATCTCCAAGCCCGCGCGATGAGCGACTGCAGCGTCACCCCAGTCATCAGTCGAGAGGTTGGGGGGGGGGGGGGGGGGGCCCCCCCCCCTGTACCTTTGCCGGTCGGACGCGAGTCCGGGTTTCCCGCATCAAGGTCTCCATCTGTGTCAGAGCCCCCCGAGGAGGCCTCCGTAGAAGGGGAGACACAGCGGGCGGGCTTCGCCTGGGTCCTGGGCGGCTGCGTCCTCTCGTCGACGCCGCCCGGGTCCTCTTCCTTGCCGCAGGAGGGGGGGGGGTCAGCTTCTCCATACTGCGGAGATAGGAAACGTAAGCATGCGGCAAGGGCACTGACCGCGAGAAATGAGGTCAAAACATGACGCAGTAACAAGAAACAGGGGGGGGGGGGGGGCAAGATGCGGGAAACAAAGATCCAGGACTAAAAATACCAAACCCGCAAAAGCTTGGAACCTGGGACCTCTGGACTATGCATCCGAAGCGCTGTCCACCCAGCTGTCAGGCGCCTCGGGTCATCGAGGACACGGAGCCGGCGGCTTGTCGAAGGTCCCCCCCCCCCCCGGCCCATTTATAAATTCTATGTTCTCCGGAATACGACCATGCCAAATCGTTTAACAATGTTTTTTCAACGATTTTTACACATTTTCAATAAGTCAGTACAACCACAAGTTTCAAATGAAATCGTTTCTAAGACATTCTTCTATCACATTAGCATATAATAAAGAATTTCTCAAAGGGGATTATCCAAAATATGTTTACTTTTACTAATACAAACAGTCAAAGTTCCCCAGAAATTTATGCCAATATTTCCTGTTAGAAAATATTTATAAAATCAAAAAATGAACATAGGAATAAAGTGTTTTAGAGGGATTGTAAACACAAACGATATATGACTCTACATATAAGGTGTAAGTTTCATATAAATTGAATAAAAAATGAAAGAAGACTAGCAATTTTATGTTACTTGACAATAAATGACAACAAACGAAGTCATAGATTCTGCCACCTGTGGTTGAGGTTGACATCAACCAATTTCCTCCAAAATTGGCACCCTTACAGATAGACGTATCGTAAGGTTGGTTACCTGGTTGATGGGGTTCTGGGAGTTCTTCTACTCCCGAAGCCCGGCCCGAGGCCGGGCTTGACTTGTGAGAGTTTGGTCCACCAGGCTGTTGCTTGGACCGGCCCGCAGGCCCACATGCCCACCACAGCCCGGTTGGTCCGGCACTCCTTGAAGGAAACAATCTAGTTTCCTCTTGAAGATGTCCACGGTTGTTCCTGCAATATTTCTGATGGTCGCTGGAAGGACGTTGAACAACCGTGGGCCTCTGATGTTCAAACAGTGTTCTCTGATTGTGTCTATGGCACCTCTGCTCTTCACTGGTTCTATTCTGCATTTTCTTCCATGTCGTTCACTCCAGTACGTTGTTATTTTACTAAGGTGTAATTTTACAAGGTGTATAAGTTTCATACAAATCGTCCGATAAAAAATATGAAAAAAAATTGAGAAAAACAAAATTCTAATATCTTTTTTAACAACATTTTTTGGCATAAAACTAATGTTTCAAATACTTTATTATATGCTATTGTGATAGCTTAGAGGCATATATATGATTTCAGTTGTCACTTGTATTTGATGTTAACTTTGGACAAATTTTGAAACACAATTCAATATTTTTTTGCTCCCTTCCTATTTATGCTACGATGCTGAGACTTGGACCAGTTGAAGCCCTTTTCATATACAACTAGTAAATAAAGCTTGATTGAAATTGAACTTTCATTTTACTGTGTTATGCCCCCCCCCCCCACTTGCCCGAAACGCTATGCATGCCAGTGGCTGTACAAGAGTGTAACTCTTGTATATATAAATAAATAAGATAACAAATAAAATAAAATATATGTTTATATGATATTATATTATTGCAACAACCGAAACAGTTAAATATAGAATACAGGGAACTAGTAGCTTAATATCAAATACACGGATTTAACCTATTTCACACAGAGAGCCATATTAGACGAGGAGGAATAGCTAAATATGTCAGGGAAATCTATGTATAACTAAACATCCTGTGAGATGGAAATATTAGAGGAACTTATAGCTAGTTGTTAAATCAGAGTTGGTTTGTTTTTGTATTGTAACTGGTAATTCCTCCCCTGATTCCATATATGACTAACCATCCTGTGAGATGGGAATATTAGATGAATGTATAGCTAGTTTTTGATCTATACTGTGTAATCTTTCATACAGAATAGGTTAGCAGCACGTTGTTGTGTATACCTAAACCTGTAAATAATAACAAAATGGGAAAATCTAAAATTTAGTTAGTGTCAAAGAAGGAAAAAAATCAAAATTGAACCACACACGAAAACTATATTTGGACTATATTTCAAATGTCAAATGAATTTGGTTAGAATTAAATATAAAATTGAATAATCTAATAATAGGAGTTATATACAGGCCACCAAACATACAAAGAATGAAAGCAAAGCATCTATGGGATGAAATATCTAGAGCATCTACGTCAAACAATGATATTCAAGCAAACACTCTCCAGCCAACACTCTATCTGGGATAAGTCGCTCCACAACATTGGTGCTTTGATCGTCGACTTCCTATATACAGTTTAGTTTAATTTCGTTATAAATTTAAATTATTTCCTTGTAAAAATATGTTTTTTTACGTTTTATATTCAGCAGCAACATTACAGTGGGTAAATATGTCACTTTTATTCTTGATAGAATACTTTAGTCATACATTCACCCAGACGCATGTGTATATTACTTAAGCTTAAACTACTAATAAACACTTTTGGTAATAACTCTACAGAAGTTTGAAATTGAAATTGAAATACTACAGAAGTTAATATATACTTTATAGTTATACCAAACAAATAAACAGTAGGAGGAATAAATCAATTAGATTACATTTATACTTCACTAAAAATAGTTAAAACCCAATTTAAAACAAAGTTTAAACCATAAATACAATACCATACAAAATAATTATCAACATTGTGCTTTTCCCTTAAGATTACCGATTTTTCGAGGCCTAACGAGCCAACTAGGGAGTGTAACAAGCCTGTTCCTGGAAGCAAAATAAACAAGATGGCGACGTTGAAGAGTTGCCTGTGGTGGTGCTAATTATTATTATTAGCCAGTTAGTTGGTTAGAGGAGAGGCGCAGTTCTCTGCTCATCACCCAGCAGGAGAGCCACAACCTAGGTGATATTACACACTAATTACCCTGAAATTGGTGGTTAAGTGGCGCTCAGGACTCTCAAATCCCCTCTCTCAGCACATCATAATTCGTTGATAAACTTAAAGCTTTGGATTATAGTATTTTTATTAGTTTTTTAAATTCTTATTTAGAAAATTGTATGTATCATATGGTAGTAGAGACATTTGGTTATTATATTCACGTTAAGTGGCGGTGGAAAAGGTTACAGAGGCACGTAATGGGCTCAGGAGCTGAACCTCCAAACTCATTTAGTTATATAATTTGCTAACATGTAATTACCTTGACAGCACCTTCACAGTTTACCAAACTAATATCGTGACCTCCAAGAGGTCCTAACACAAGGAATGGGATTGTCAGTTGAGCCACGTACATTCACTATCAATTTCCTTCAAATGCTCCCCACACGCACCCATTTAGTGGGTAGCAGTGAGGAGGTTATAATCGCTTGCACGCACTACCTACAGTTAACAAACTTGGGATAATTGGCTATAATTTCTTGTAGCATACCGCTATAAATTAAACACGACATTTGTGATGGTTATTTCTAAAGCTATTAATATGTTAGCATTCCATCACATAGTGATGCAGGATATGCAAATTTGTTTGAGTTTATATTTACTTGGGTCTACATTGGCTGGAAATGCAAACTCCCAGAGATACTTATTGCCGAGTCTCAGCTGGGCAGCAGTAATATCTAGGTGTCTGCTGGGTTTTTATTGGCTCCATAGATATGTGGCTCTTTTTGCATGGTACTATGATGATAGATTGAATATCTAGTGTAGATTTCACTGTGTCTCAAATTTTGTTGAAGTTCTTTGTGTATCAACGCTCTAACTGTGCACCCGAAATTAGATCAATTTCCTGCTCATAAAAAATAAATAAAGGTTCGCCCAACAAATTCTTCCTCTTTCTATATCACAAAACTTTACTTTCTTATGTTGGGAAAAATACAACAAATCAATTTAATCCTGGATTTGAGTTTGGCCACAGTAAGGTGAAGAAATACTGATGATGTCATATCCTGAGTTATAATTTAAAGTTACCTATTTGTAATTGAGTCCTCATTACTAACATCTGCCAGGTCCATGTCTTTACATTATGGCATGACATTATTGGTTCCTAGCCTGGGCATCAGGCAGTGGATAGTGATGCACCAGACATAGTACCCATCTTTTTACTTAGGCCTAGGAAAAATACCAAGGCTTTCAGGACAACTTCCAATATGGCAAGTTGTTTCCAATAAGGCAAATGACTGCCCGAGGCCTCTAATATTGAATGACATCTACGTACAACCAGGGTGATGTTTGAATAATATGGGGCAAAATCTCTCAGAAGATTTGACCATATGACCATACGAGTCATAAATAATCATACTCTTAAGTAAAACAGAAACAAGTAACACTTAGTGGGCCAGCCAGAGGCCTAGGGCCCATGCAGGAATATCCCTGCCCCCCCCCCCCAAAAAAAAAATACAAATAAAATAGTTCCCTGTATTATTAAAATATCAATATGGGGATTGGCATACTGGCCTCTTACCACTTTATGGCAATAGGAGCAGTTTAAATGTTTAGCAGTGTACATGTAATAATTGTAATGAATGTCTCCACTAATTTGAAAGACATTCTACATTAAAATCTTTTAAGAATTTCAAATATGTAACCTATTGCATTAATTACATGTAGAGAAACACCCAGATGAGAATAGACTGCTGTATTTGTAGCTAGCATTTTGCCATTAGGAAAATGCCAGCTACAATTACAGCCTTTTACCAAATTTAACATATTTGGTAAAAGGTACATTTGGTAAAGGCTTTACCAAATCTAACAGAAGTACAGGGTACACCTCCCTGTATGTACACACGAAGGTATCCAAAGACCCGTGGCTAGCCACTGGTATCCAGACACTTCAGAAAGTTACCAACATTCTCAGAAGATTAAAAAATATTTATACTTGTCTTAGATTTGATGCCAAAGTTATAGTATGAATTTAAAGAGATGCTCTATTAAAAAGATGCTGGAATGGCTGCTGTACCTGTACCCACGGAGATATTAACCAATAACAAGTAACAGCAAGAGTTTCGTTATTCACCAAGTATCAGGATACCCTGGTACTGGTCTCCAGACAAATGGGTATTTTAAACATTTCCCACATAGTTACAGTGGTATAAACATGGTAGTATACTTACAAATGCTGTACTGTATAACTAAGATTATGGGCATTACTTATTATTCATGTTAAATTATTCTACAGTCTGATGTCTGGTCACCGGTACTGTACTTAGTTATGTCTTACCTCTAAGTCAACATGATATCCAAATGCTTGATTATACTCAAGATGAGTATATCATAGACTATAACAATGACAATTCTTAGCTTTTAATTAACATTCAATGCTGAATGATTGGGCTTGTCGTTGTATCGCCCATGTTTTACGTCATTCCACTAGTAAAAACATGTATATTTTTAATTAATATAACAAAGATAATGAGTGAGAACTAGAGTTTATTGAAATATCTTGTGTAGACATGTGGCTACCAGCTATTTTTATTTGTAATTACCTAAGTGTAATTACCTAAGTGTAGTTACAGGATGAGAGCTACGCTCGTGGTGTCCCGTCTTCCCAGCACTCTTTGTCATATAACGCTTTGAAACTACTGACGGTCTTGGCCTCCACCACCTTCTCACTTAACTTATTCCAACCGTCTACCACTCTATTTGCGAAGGTGAATTTTCTTATATTTCTTCGGCATCTGTGTTTAGCTAGTTTAAATCTATGGCCTCTTGTTCTTGAAGTTCCAGGTCTCAGGAAGTCTTCCCTGTCGATTTTATCAATTCCTGTTACTATTTTGTACGTAGTGATCATATCACCTCTTTTTCTTCTGTCTTCTAGTTTTGGCATATTTAATGCTTCTAACCTCTCCTCGTAGCTCTTGCCCTTCAGTTCTGGGAGCCACTTAGTAGCATGTCTTTGCACCTTTTCCAGTTTGTTGATGTGCTTCTTAAGATATGGGCACCACACAACAGCTGCATATTCTAGCTTTGGCCTAACAAAAGTCATGAACAACTTCTTTAGTATATCGCCATCCATGTATTTAAATGCAATTCTGAAGTTAGAAAGCATTGCATAGGCTCCTTGCACAATATTCTTAATGTGGTCCTCAGGTGATAGTTTTCTATCTAGAACCACTCCTAGATCTCTTTCTTTATCAGAATTCTTTAAAGATTTCTCACATAATATATAGGTTGTGTGGGGTCTATGTTCTCCTATTCCACATTCCATAACATGACATTTATTAACATTAAATTCCATTTGCCAAGTGGTGCTCCATATACTTATTTTGTCCAGGTCTTCTTGAAGGGCATGACAATCATCTAAATTTCTTATCCTTCCTATTATCTTAGCATCATCAGCAAACATGTTCATATAATTCTGTATACCAACTGGTAGATCATTTATGTACACAATAAACATCACTGGTGCAAGAACTGAACCCTGTGGTACTCCACTTGTGACATTTCTCCATTCCGATACATTGCCTCTGATTACTGCCCTCATTTTTCTATCAGTCAGAAAATTTTTCATCCATGATAGAAGCTTACCTGTCACCCCTCCAATATTTTCCAGTTTCCAGAACAACCTCTTATGTGGAACTCTGTCGAAAGCCTTTTTTAGGTCCAGATAGATGCAGTCAACCCAGCCATCTCTTTCCTGTAATATCTCTGTGGCCCGATCATAGAAACTGAGTAAATTCGATACACAGGATCTTCCTGATCGAAAACCATACTGTCTGTCTGATATTATATCATTTCTCTCCAGGTGTTCTACCCATTTAGTTTTGATTAGCTTTTCCAATACTTTCACTATTACACTTGTCAATGATACAGGTCTATAATTGAGGGGGTCTTCCCTGCTGCCACTTTTGTAGATTGGAACTATGTTAGCCTGTTTCCACACGTCTGCTACGATTCCTGTACACAGGGATGCCTGAAAGATCAGGTGAAGTGGAATGCTGAGCTCAGATGCACATTCTCTCAGAACCCATGGTGAAACGCCATCTGGTCCAGCTGCTTTGTTCCTCCCGAGCTCCTTTAGCATATTTTCCACTTCATCTCTAGACACCTCTATCCGCTCTATGTTGTTCTCTGGAATTCTTATTGTGTCTGGTTCTCTGAAGATTTCATTTTGTACAAACACACTTTGGTGTGTGTGTGTGTGTGTGTGTGTGTGTGTGTGTGTGTGTGTGTGTGTGTGTGTGTGTGTGTGTGTATGTGTAACTACCTAAGTGTTCTTACAGTATTTGTGTTAGAAAACTATTTAGTGTGTATTTTAGTGATGGTTAAATACAATTTTTCTCTATATTCTGTTGTTTTCTTTCAGGATTTGAAAAAAAAACATGTGCTACCAGAGCCACTTTGTTACTTATGTTAGAAACTGCTTGGCCTAATTAAGCTAACTTTATGAAACCTAATCTAATCTAATCTTAATGAAACATAATACAATCTAGCTTAACCTAATATGGTCCATTAATACTTGAAAAATTAAAATAGTTTCCAGTGAAAGAAGCACTGAGGTGACCCACCAGTTTTCATAAACAGTACAATACTTTACTTTTGTTAATAGAGTAATGTATGGACAGCCTGCAATTCTATGGCTACATATGTTTTTTTAATACTGTATTGTAGTCTTACATTTAAAAAAACAAGTTTTAGAAATTCAGTGTTATTTACAAATGATTAGAATGAGTTAGCTGCATCAGAGATTCCTTGACATCTTATGTGTGTTGCTTGCAGAAATATGCAAGATTTGGCCTAGGTAAAATGCGGACCTGCCTAAAACGGCAACTCGGTATAATACCATTTTATTTTGTGCAAAATACTGTAGCTGCATGAATATTCATTTTGGTAAACTGATAATGGTGTGTGGTGTACACAAAACTGTTGTTTACCTTTCAGATCCGCACAACAACAGTTTATTCCTCCTCTTGATGCATAGAGCACGAGAATGGACAACGGGAGCCAGACATCACCTTCAAGCAAGCAAGTGTGCAAGAGAACCCAGTATGAAGATCCCTTCGCTCTGCACTCCCTTCTCTCTACCTCAGGTGTCTTATTTGAATTTTAATGTTGCCTACAGAGGAAAACCACGCTGATAGATTCATATGATTGCTCTTAGTATAGAAGTAGCTGCATTTTTTTTTTAATTTTTACCATAATTTTCTATTAATAAATATATAAGGAGTGCATATAGCTATTGATTTCATGTGGATTTTTTTTGTGCTATGTTCTTGCATAAGTATTAAGATCTAAGAATGCTTAATATAGTTGTCACAAAATCTAATTTAATTAGTAGTAGGCATCCATCAGTCTTAGGAGACTATGGAGTTGCACTCTGGTGTCGGCCTGGTCTGGAGTGGTCTCACCAGGGCGCAAAGCCAGAGGTGGTTCTTCTCCGGCCACGTCCACAGCGGTCTCCGGGGTTGAAGGTCCCTGTGCCCTTCTTCACCAACTTCGAGGTCATCCCCGGAACTCAATTAAATTAATGTTATATATATTCATAACCTGTCTCTGGGAGGCCCTTGACAGCAGCTCTCCTAGCGAAGTACTAACCCAGGCAAGCGTTGGGATCATGCACCAAGGCTTTGAGACCCATCGTTGCCTACTGGAAACCAGGACCAGAATCTGCCTCTCTCTACGAGGTGAAGGAAGACTGGAAATCAGACAATAACCCAGAATTGAAACAAAATATCACCAGAAAGCATAAGCACAACTAAGCAGGCAATTACTAAAGAAAATTAGGAACCTGCAAGTAGCAAGGCAAACAATTATCATTACTGTAGTGTAAACACCCCAACTGACCTCCCACCATGTTGCAGCCCAGATCACTTAAATTTAACATAAGTGTTCAGTTGTTTGCTGAGCCATGTGCTCAGTTGTTTGCTGGGCCACTTGCTCAGTTGTTTGCTGGGCCATGTGCTCAGTTGTTTGCTGGGCCATGTGCTCAGTTGTTTGCTGGGCCATGTGCTCAGTTGTTTGCTGGGCCACTTGCTCAGTTGTTTGCTGGGCCATGTGCTCAGTTGTTTGCTGGGCCACTTGCTCAGTTGTTTGCTGGGCCACTTGCTCAGTTGTTTGCTGGGCCATGTGCTCAGTTGCTTCCTGGACTGTCAGGTTTGATGTGCTTGGTCATTCCCAGACTGGGAATGACCAAGACACTGATGCTTCTGGCCTGGGTGTCACTGGTTCCCATCTTGCTCACTGGTTCCCATCTTGAATGATAAGAGGCTTTCTGGGCATGGTGTTCACTGATTCCTGGACTGTGTGCCTATTGTTTGCTCAGCTGTGTGATTTGGTGAAGAGGGGTCTTTCCCTGGCCTATAGATTTTGACAGTACTGTACTATAGTATCTAATTATTATTTTAAGTAGCATTAAAATATGGTTTGATTTTCTTTACACAATTTTGGAGTTGAATTAAGACATAATGGTTTTGTAATATTCATTTCAGGAAGCCTTTTGGATAATGAAAACTCCCTTTTCTTGGGGCCACTGATACCACCCTTACGGAGCCTTGAAGATCAATGTGAGGGTAGTAATCCTCGTGCTGCAACTGGACGAGGAGGATTCCTACAGCCTTCAAGTGCTCCCACATCTCCTCAGCATAGACATAGTAGTGCCACGTCCCCCCCACCACTCTCTCCTGTTCCTCTTGGTGCCTCTGTTGCCTCCACGTCGTCGGACCCAAACTTTCATGCAACCAGTCTTCGCGAGAGAAATGCTGCAATGCTTAACAACGAACTCATGGCTGATGTTCATTTTGTTGTTGGTCAACCAGGTATAACAAAATTATGTTTTCTGTTAAATATATACAGTACTGGTATTACATCACATTTGCCTGTATACCTATATATTTACTTCCCTCAAGAGAAATATCATTGAAAATATCATATGCTCTTGTGTGATTTTTATGTACGTGTCATATCGTGGTACTCTTACATAAGTCATACTGCTGTTATAGAAAAGAACTATTAAAACTGCATTACTATCAGTATCATTATCATTCTGGCAACTTGTGTTAAATTCACCACTTTATTGTGTTCATGCGCAATCTAGATATGACAGAAGAGTATTTTATAGCTGATTTTATCCATATACAATTTCGTTCTTATTGCAAAAAAGTTACTTCAAATGTCCCGCCCCTTAAGTCCTACCACTCACAGGTCACCACTTAATCCCAGATGGTCCAAGTGGTTGAGTACTATTCCTTCCCTCCATCATATCTCATCTAATTGTCCTCATATCCAAGTGCTATGTAGTTATATTAGCTTATAACTTTCTCCTCATAATTACCTTAATTATGAGGAGACCTTCACTGTGGTCTGTGCACCACTGGTCCAGTCTATAACCTCTGCATCTTTCACTAAACATTTACATGTGAGTTTGCCAGATGTTTAATCACAGGGGCCTATCTTGTCACCTCTTCATGCATCAAATGGCATTATGGAAACACACTTTATAATTAAGTATAACACTTTACTGCAAAATATTAATAAATGTTGTCCTTCAGAAGTATTTATCAGTTAATTTTAAGATTTGTATGTGTGTGTGTGATACATCATCATGTCTAGACTGAATGCAAATTAAGTAAATGCTAAATAAATTAACAAAGATAAGAAGTTGTAGGAACGTTAATTTTTCAATTGATTACTAGGGGAATACCCAGCTGTATTCAGGTCTCTCTTCCCTATCTCTCCCTCTTCCCCACTCCCACCTCTCACAATCTCCTCCTCTCTCATCACTTTTCTTATCCCTCACTTCCCCTCTTCTCTCTCCCACACTTTTGTTTTCTCCTCCTTTCTCGCCTCTTCCTCTCTCATCTCTCCCCCTTTTCTCACTTCACCCCCTCTCCTCCCTGTTATTCTCTTCTTCCCCCCACCCCCTTTCCACCTGTCAGTCCCTTCTCTCCTGCCATCTCTTCAAATATCCCTCCCTTCCTTCTCTCCCTATCTCTATATGTCTATCCTCTGTTTTTCTGTGTTTGCCTCTGTCTGTTGTTGTCATCTTGTGTCTGTTTTTCTGTTTGTCCTTCTGTCTCTGTTTGGCCTGGTTAAATTAGTCTCTGTATGTCATTCTTTCCCATTCTGTCTGTGTCTGTCTCTTGCTGACAATATGTGTCTCTTGTCTTTCTTTTATCAAAATAATATAATAGTCTTCTTCAGTATTGACATGTGGGTTGTCTGCCAGTGGGAGGAGCCTAGCTGTGTGAAATATCTAAAAAATGTAATAGTTAACTATTTGCTTTGAGAAAGGGGCAGAGCTTGAGAAATCCTTTGAAGCAGTGGCAGGATCATCTTTTATTTTATGCAACTATGGCCAAATTATGAATAGAACAAATTTCATGTTAATTTTTCCAAGCTTGGTGAATAATGGTGCATGTAGTTAAGGCAATTTTTTTTTTTTTTTTTTTTTTTTCAAAATAATATTTAGATAGGTTTAGCCAGCAGGCAATGGCAAAAATCATCATGGGGTCAAAATGTGACCCTGGCATGCTTTTCCCTCTTGAATTTCTGGGAACCTAGACCATTCTCCCTGCAAAAATGGGTGAGGCTAGCCATAAGTATCTGGCCCTTCAACCAAGGACAGAGAAAGACAAACAAGACATTTTCTCTTGTAGATATTGATGAGAATATTACATTGTAACATTTCAATCTCTGATCAATCTACTGTATATGTAAACATTTTAATTATTTCAAGTAAATTAGAAATGTTATAGCTTAATGGATCTGTCAACATACATTTATCTCTCATGCCTAAGACAAGATAAAAAAATATTGTGCATATTTAAACCTAAAAGTTTAATTGTCAACGGAATAATATACATTTTGGTGTAATATTTGGCTATTAACATCCCACAACCTCAGTACAGTGGATACTGTTCTGTACTTTTAAGCGAGTGACACACATTACTGGATCTGATGGGTCTGATACTAGATATTAATCCTTTATTAGCATTTACTGCTGCTTTATTTATATATACTGCTTCATTTAGGGAAGGCCTTGTTCAGCAGTGGACTGATAATCTAACCAATTGCTAATTTTTTGTTTTTGTTTTAACAGGGAGCACTCAGAGAATTCCAGCTCATAAGTATGTGCTGGCTGTGGGGAGTAGTGTGTTCTACGCCATGTTTTATGGGGGATTAAAATCCGAGGAAGAGGTTCAGGTGCCTGATGTGGAGCCGTCTGCATTTCTCACTTTGCTTAGGTAATATTTACCAGGATTTCTTTGCATAATGCAGTGCATATAAGTAGCTGAAGATACATGCACTGCATTATGCATTTTTTTTAAGCTGTCTTGGCAGTTTCTTTGTTGTAATTTGAAACATTTCACCATGGGATTTGTGCATTTCTTCAAATGGCAAACCTTGTGTTTACCACTGGAAGATTTAATGGCAAATTCCTCAGTGTGTAATTATAGAAAACTTTGATCTTTATTTTACCCACAATTATTGCCATATCATTCTGTCTTCAAACATTTGTTAAAAAGAAAGCTGATTTTTATGTCCGTATACTAAGAGGACATTGCCTCAGGATGCTACCAAGGATATTAGCTCATAAAACATTATCAAATGCAAGTTTCTTTTTTAACTGAAAATGTGGTTGCAAAGTTGGGTTCTGTTCTTCTCTTTTAATCTTTATCTTACTGTTCATTATTTTCATCACGTTCAACATTTACATTACCATGGAGAATATGCATGATTTACAAGCATATTAATTTAAGAACACTGATAAAGACTCTTCAAAGTCTTCTGTCACTCTGCCTAAATGGGGACAAGTTCTGATAGTGATTCTAGTCACAGTAATCTAAATGGGTTAACAAATGGATAACCAGTACAGTATTAATGCTTTACAGCACAGTTTATTAAATCGTTTTAAACTAATAAATGACCAAGTTTTTCAGAGAGCATTTTGAAATATTAATACTGTATATGCAATTTGTATTGAATGTAAATTTGTGAGTCTAATATTTAAAACAGTGTTTCCCAACCTTTGTATCGTGAATACAAAGATACCTGGCCCATACTTTAGTTAAACATACATGGATTTCATTGTCAACTGAAAGGAGACTATTTCTGTATTTTTGCTCTTGATACTGCCTAAATGAGAAACATTGATTACAAAAAATTACTAAAAAAAATAAATTTACAGATGATTAGAATTAGCCTGGTTTATCATTAATCACTTGTGGAACTCCTAATTACTTTGGGGTTCCATGGAACCTCAGTCGAGAAACCCTGATTAAAAGGATAGTGGTGATTTGTAAGAACTGCTATTCATTGCTTTAGTAAAAATATTAAAATTTTCTCCACTATAATTTTATTACGGTTTAATTAATGCATTCTTTTCCAAACTAGGTTCATGATTTAACAGATGTCTTCACACCTTTCAGGTGAATGCACACATTGTTGTTAGTGCATGAATGCACTGACTCTCTTTGTGTCTGCATATAAATAACTTCTATCTTTTTTTATATAGGTATCTTTACTGTGATGAAATTCGCTTGGAACCAGATACAGTTCTAGCAACTCTGTATGCTGCTAAAAAGTACCTCGTGCCCCATTTAGCTCAGCAGTGCGTGAAATTTCTCGAAGTGTCCTTGACAGCTCGAAATGCTTGCCTGCTTCTCTCTCAGTCTCGTCTCTTTGAAGAGCCTGAATTGATGACACGCTGTTGGGAAGTCATCGATGCTCAAGTAAGTATAAATTTAAACAGACTGATCTCATAATAATATTTCTTGTGATGTATCAATCAGATCAGTTACAGATACCTCATTTGTTTTCTCCTTCAAATAAATGTTATCTTTAGTGTGCTGGCTAAAGTAATATTAAAATAGATTATGGTGAAGTTTCTGATCAAGAATACTGTAATAAAAACAAATCTCTTTCATTATAAATTACTTGAGATTCAAATTCAGATTTTAAAAGTGTTGCAGTTGTATGAAGTGATCTAAACTAAAACATTCGTGAACTGTTGAATACAGAACAGGTAAATAGGTATACAGGTATCCTTTTGTTTTATTCTGTATTAATACAGAGGACCCTCGGGCAACAAGCAACTCCATCTACAAGCATTTCAGGTAACAAGCGAGCCACTCACAGAAAATTTGTTTCGATTGATGAGCTTCTGTTCGGTTAATGAGAAAACCACGTAGTGCTTCCTAGTGTTTCCGCTGGTTCTCGAACGCCCCTGACGACAGTGTTGTTGTTATTTTGTAAGACGAGCATTTTACATGACTAGTTCGGTCCCGGAACTGATTAAGTTCGTTAACCGAGGTACCACTATATATGGGAAGGACCCCCACTTTGGGTTTCCTTCCATTTAATTTGGACCCCTCTACTAAATTTGGATAGCTAACTCAAATTAAGAACCCCCCAATTAGTTTGGGTAGTTAGCTACCCAAACTAAGCTTAAATACCACCAATCTTTAGCTGAATTCACACTGCATCCGAGACCCAACCGTTGCCTACCAAAAGACCGGAATCTGGCTTACTCTGAGCCAATGGGAGATCAAACCAAAACTGGGGAAAAATCTACCAGAAAGCACAGGTGTAACAAAACAAGCAACTGCATGAACAAAAATAGGTAACATTAGGTAAACAACAGTAAAATCATTACTGTTGATCGTTTGCACATAGGATATAGGATGGATGTCCTAACCAATCATTTACAGGCCAACAGCCCAGAGAGAGTAGGTCTTCGAGGAGTGGTGCAGTGACCCCTGCCAATCCATAAGGCTTGGCTGTGACTGTTTAGCTGCAGAGAGCTACAATGGGACCAACAGAAAAAGGCATTTCATTACATTCAATGCTCGATTTTTTTTTTGTTTTTTCCAGAGTAATGTATCTCCATCCTGATAATTTATGTGATGTATGTTTTTACTGTGAACTATGTAAATATTACAGAGGTTATATTCTGTAATGTGTCTTGCCTAATCATTTTTACTGTACAGATGAGACTTGTAGCATATGGATACAGAAATTTAGTTTTGTATATTACTTGCTCCAATTGATGATTAAATATATATTTTATACAATTATTGTAGGCTGAGATGGCTCTTCAGTCTGATGGGTTTGTTGACATCGACTTTCCAACTCTGACTAGTGTCTTATCAAGGGAAACTTTGAACTGCCGAGAAATTGTACTCTTTGATGCAGCATTATCCTGGGCTGAAGCGGAGTGCATACGTCAAGAACTGGAGCTGACAGCTGAAAATAAACGAAAGGTATAATAAACTTTTCCAACATGCGCACTTTTATAAGGAATTTGACTTTCATTCACTGATCTTCCTAGGAGCATATATTAGGGAATTAAGTCTATATCTCATGTATTTCTTTGATTTCTTCCATTATTTATTTTTCTTTAACTTCTACAAAGTTTGTTGTCTTTAAGATTCGTTGTAAATAGGCTAGTACTAGATTTCAAGTTGCCTTATTTATGATTTGAATATTTGGAAATTGTTCCCTGTTTGCTGCTAGTAAATAAATATACTTTTTCAATTGCAGTTTATCAGTCCTCTCATTTTAAAGTTGTGTATCTTTCATTTCATTTCAGTATTTGTTATTTTGTGGTTTATTTCAAGTCAAACCCAAAACTCAAACAACTTGAAAGATGTCTGTTGCAGTAGCCCACATATCCTAAGAATTCTCATCCCCTTCTTTCTTTATTTTTTAATTTCATAAACAATTATTTGATTTTTCCCGAGATATTAAAAAACCATTTCTTCCTCTATACTGGTACACTTGGGTAGTATTTGTTAATTTCCTTTTAGATTGAGATAAAATACATTTTCCTTTTTCTAGTTTTACCTTTTCTGTAGAATAATGACCATAGTAATTGTAAACAAACTTCTGGAAACTTTCCTTATAAAGACTACTCAATAGCTCGGTCGATAGAGCTTCGGCCTCACACGCCCAGAGTCCGCAGTTTGAGTCTCCTAGGGCCCAGATGAATGGAACTGTAGTAATTGATTTACCAAGGTGCTTGCCGTGACTTTAGTCGGCAAATAGATATAGATTATCTTACATTTTACTTGGTATGGTATTAAATGTGGCTATGACAATAAAATCCAATCAATTTGCCAAATTAAAAAAAATCCATATAATAATAGATACTAACTATACTTCATACTGAAAATTGTCAGCATGGTTAGGCAAAAAGTTAATACTTGTAAAATTATTAGGGAAAAGTTGTAGAAATCAAGCCTCTAGAGATTTCCCCTCTAGCCTCGGTAAAAGTTCCTCTCTCCAACCCTGGTACAAAGTTTCCTCCCCAGCCCCAGTAGAAAATTTATCTAAATCTATATCTAAAGTTACACTAGAGTTAGAAACATACATAGGCACATTTTAATTCACGATAAAAATATTGATATTTAACTAGATTATCTATTGTATTTTCTCTTCAATAGGCAAAATCAATCCTCTTCCTGCATCCCAAGAATTTGCACAAGCTCTTAAATGATGGCCTTGTCTTTAGAAACTTGCAACATTTCTTAGACTCTTGAGCTCTAATTTGTTATTAATATTTTTTTCAGGCTGGTATTCTGGATTTTCATAAATTCCAAGTTGTTTAAATGTGAAGTCTTTGATGCCGTTCCAAATATTTATGCAGCAGTCTCGAGTTGCGGTTAGTTGTTACAGGGCGATTCAACAATTGAAGCGTACTTTGCACAAGAGACTTGCATAATTGTTCACAGTTATTTAAACAAACTATTAACTTAAGTCTTCCAAGTTCTTGTGCTTCACTGAGTACAAACTAAGCGCACAGACTCCCTCATCACTTGGGCAGTTTCTCTGTTATTCAAAATGGCCTTGAAAACAGCCCTTTTCTACTTGGTTTTCTTTTGAGTAGGAAAAATGCAAAATTAAAGAATTTCTTTCTGTCATTCCTCTACTTGGCTCCTGGGTTCAGATGCTGCATCTCTGGAATGGAATTGATAGAAATTGATCTATCCACTTACTCCTCCTCAATTTGTCAAGGTATTATGGAGACTCCGTTTGTCAAGGTGTAGTGGAAATTAACAGCTGCAAAAGTATAATTTTATATTTATGTTAATCTGTTCATGTATCTGGTTTTAACATTAAATGCATCTCTAAAAAACACAAAAGAGTAGACCCCCCACTGAATAACCACCTCCACTTTTAAACCTGACTTTTTATATTTTTTTGGGTTTTAATTTTCTTTAATAATTTAATTAGGACCACTCGATTCATTTTTCATCAGTGGTCTTAATTTAAGTTTTACTGGAACTGTAGATCTAGAGTAAAATACTAGAAACCCTTTATATTTACATATCCTACACTGTCGTTTTTTTTTGAGAGGTCATACGGAATGGGAATTAGTGATTGTTTTCTGGTTATTGTTCAGACTTATAAATTAGGGAAACCAAAATTAGGTTCACTGTAGATTTGGCATTAAATGGCCATAATAGCAACCAGAAATATTCTTTAAACTAATTAGCCTATCAGATAAGAGCATGTGCTTTCCTGAGAGAAATCACCTATAGCTTTCAACTTATTAATCAGAGATATGCAAACTTTGACTTTGCATTAAAGTTTGTATATTCTTGAGCAGCAAAACAACAAATACCGTATTACTATATTTCACTAACTAAAATTAATTATCAGGTTTTAGGTACGGCATTGAACTTAATTCGTATCCCCTGCATGGAACTGGGAGAGTTTGCTAATGGAGCGGCACAGTCTGGAATCCTCTCATTACAGGAGACTACAGACCTTTTCTTACATTTCACTGCTCGCAACAAACCAACAGTTTCGTACCCAATTAAACCAAGACAAGGCCTCAAGAAACAGATCTGCCACAGGTGAGTAATGGCTAGTACTGGTTTATTGTTTTGATGCATCCTCTCCATGCTAATTATACAGTGTATTCAAGTCTAAAAGTTAATTTAATACCTTTTTAAGATCCTACATCCTGACCTCTTTCATATAGTATAAGCATCCATGAGTGCTCTGATAGGAGATAGGTTTTCTCATTGTTAGAAGTGATGGTAAGTTGAGAAAAGTTGATACAATGGATCCCTATCTAATACAACAGTTCTGTTCCTGGGAAAATGACGTGTTGTAAAAAAAAATACATTATAGACTAAATAACCTATAACATAAAATAACCTATAATAAAAATTGGGTTATGTTCCCAGACATGCTAAAGTTGTTAAATTTTGAAAAAAATTATTACAGTACCATAAAAACTGAGATTGGTGACTTCCTGAAAATGATCTAGGTGATGACTGAGGCATTTTGTTACTGTGGTGAGGATGTTGTGGCGTTTTCTGGTTTAATTTTAGGTGACGACTAGAATTCTAATGTTGAAGGCAAGTCTGTTGTGGGGATTGCTTGGTGTAGTTAGTGATGAGAGACTGCTTTGCTTTGTTATGCAATGATTTGTACTTTAATTTGTTCATAATTTTTGCAGATTTCAGTCTTCAGCTTACAGAAGTAATCAGTGGCGTTACAGAGGAAGAGTTGATTCAATTAACTTTATGGTGGATAAAAGAATATTTGTTGTTGGCTATGGTCTTTATGGCTCGTCGAGTGGTGCGGCGGACTATAATGTCAGGATTGAGTTGAAGAAATATGGGGAGGTAGGTATTGTAATAACTTCCTCTAGTATTACTTTACTGCATATACTGAGTTACTCTAAGGGCTCCTGTAATTTGTTTCAGTTGTGTATAATTATACATCTTTTAGAAGTATCTGAATAGTGCTATACTTCTGAAAATACTTTCAAATTCACAGGTACTAGCAGAGAGCACAACTAAGTTCTTCTCTGATGGTTCCTCCAATACCTTTCACGTCTACTTCACACACCCAGTGCAAGTGGAACGTGATGTGTATTATACTGCATCGGCAATTTTAGATGGAGCTGAACTGTCGTACTTTGGTCAAGAAGGGATGAGCGAGGTTAATATGGGGGCTCTCACTTTCATGTTTCATTGCTCATCGGAGAGTACTAATGGTACGGGAGTTCAGGGAGGCCAGATTCCTGAACTTATATTTTATGGTCCAACTCTTGAAGTAACAGATAAATAGTCAGTTTCTTCCATTAGAAGATAATGTAATTCTAGAATAAACAATGGTTATACCATTAAATGTATTATAGAATTTTAAGGACACCTGTATATGGTGGTATCTATCTTCCTCTTTCTAAACTGTGCATACAATTTTGTTCTTATCTAGACTCTTCATGTAATTAAAAAATATTACAGTAATTTAAACTAAAAATAATATACAAATGATTGCTCAGCTTTTGTGATCATGAGAAAGAGTAACAGAGTGACAGTGCCAAAATAATAATGTTCAACTTCAGTATTTTTTACAGTGTCCCTGAGTATCTTTAGTAAAGAGGACTGTCCTACGTTGACCAGACCACACACTAGAAGGTGAAGAGACAGCGACGTTTCGGTCCGTCCTGGACCATTCTCAAGTCGACTTGAGAATGATCCAGGACGGACCGAAACGTCGTCGTCCCTTCACCTTCTAGTGTGTGGTCTGGTCAACATACTTTAGCCACGTTATTGTGACTCATCGCCTGCACAGGACTGTCCTATTCTAAAGAGAAAAACAAATATGAATTTGCTTAATATGAAAGTAATTTGTCATTTTTCCGAGACTACAACGAGAGCACCCACTTTCCTCGTTTCCATTCAGGGGAAGCAAGATACAGGATACAGGTGCCATATTTAGAGCTAGAGATTATCTTCCCATTTTGGATAAATTGTTAACATTAGCATGATTCTCCAATATAATAAATTCTTCTCATGTTAACCATAATTTTATTTGTTATAATAATTGCCATTAAGAAGTTAATAATTGTAATGAAAGCTATATTACAAGTTTTTGCTAGATTAATGAAATGCCTCTTAGCTCAATCCAGTAATATTTATAATAAGAATCAGTTAATGGAATGAATTCCTTGAGATGGAAAGAACTAGTGAAACTAATAAATAATAAGAAGCTGGAAAGGCAGTAGTTGTAGTTGTTATCTGAACTTGTAATGATAAAGAACACTGCACAGTTTCTCCCAGTGCCTAACCTTGAACCTTGGCCTCTCTGTCTGTACCACCATCAAGGAACTGTCTAATGACGAGTCGTTATAGTTTCTTCAGTTCCTGGTGTGTGGTTTGGTCATCAAGGAACTGTCATTTGTAATACGTTTTAATTGATAGTGGTGATATAGGCGAGGTACTGAGTGTTTTTTAGATTTGCTTTTAAATGCATTTGACTGATACCAGTATCTGCTATCATGACATGGTGAGCAATGTACCGGGTATTTATTTTGTCTTGATACCTTTGTGGCTGCTATTTGATGAGCCGCAATTGACATTTTTCCTTTACTTCCATAATGAGCTATATATATTTAAATAATTGTGTGACGTCTGTACAGTGTATAGATTAATACAATATATTAATATACAATACTTTACTAATTTTGTTATTACTTTTTAATACTTTACTTCCTGTAATAATATGGCATCTATTTATGATTTAGTGTTATTTATGTAAAAAGTCATAGATTGTTATTTTTAATAGACTTCTAGTGGCAAATCATATAGTATAGAATAATATTTTTTTGCTCTTCATGCACTGTGTATATGTATGTGTGTGTGTGTGTGTGTGTGTATATATATATATATATATATATATATATATATATATATATATATATATATATATACCTGTATATATATTATATCTTCGCATGTTGGCACTTTGTCATTCAGAACGTGAGCCTATTGCGTGTACAAGAGTCAAGTTGAAAGTGAGCTATGCAGTATAATTCCTAACAGTATCTTTCTGCAAAGAATCTTATTGTTATTAAAGATATTTCTATATTTGGTGTATTATTAGCTTTATTACTTAACAACAACTGTTGGTGTGAGAGAGCATGATTTTGATCCATGACCCACTTACGGAAAGCTGTTGTTTTCATGATATATAAAAATGTTTAAACAAAATATAGGAACGATCTGTAATCAGAGAACGATCTAAAGCGATCTGTAAAAAGTCACTTTCATTTTGATATATTAATTGCCTTGGTAATACTGTTAAAAGTGAAGTGGGATGAGTATACAGTATGTGTGAATGTAAAGTTATACAAATGTAGGTGGCCTATAGTAGTAATGTGTCCCCCCCCTCAATAAATATGTATATATAAGCACAAATTTTATTTAATAATTATAAAGAACATTTCTGTGTAATAAATGATAAGCTACTAAATAAGTACTAATGAATAATTTTATTGGTTGCAGACCAGCAATTGACTGGTATCCATATGAACAAAACTTGACACAAGAGTATCGCTTAGCCACCTGTCCGCTTTTTATTATGATGAGTTTTTGAAGTCTGTCAATTTTTAGTATTACCCATTAGACCACCTGAACTTCTACATTCCCCCATCCCACACCCAACCATTACCACACATCTACCGTTTAGTAGGTCACTAGAAACAGGAGAACTACCAGAAAATTGAAAGATAACCAAGCAGAGTCAATCAGTATATGAAAAGGTAATGAAAGGCACTACTATACATGTTAATATCCTCTATTTGCTTATAATGTCATGGTGATGGAAAAAACTATAATTAAGCTGCTAGTATAACATCTGGAAAGAAGGTCCTGTATAATATAACACCAGGTGTGATTGGGGGTTGTAAAAACTGCCTCGCGAACTTGACAATAATGCAACTGGGAGACTAAGATCAAACAAGGCAGAGAAAGGTTTGTAGATTGTATATTCTTTGGCTCAGAAGTCCTTTGGCAATACCCCACAAACGTAGTGTACAAATAGGAGGAGCAGGGAATGGTGCTCCTGTGGATAATGGAGTACCTTGACAAAAAAAGATGCAGCAGATTGCCACATTCAGTAGCGTCTTCAGAAAGGAGAAACTTACCAGAAACTCCCATAAAATGAATAGCATAGCTGCATATTTAAGAACTTTCTTTAGAAATCTGAGCATGGTCATTTGGTACCTTGTATAACAAAATATCAGACCAATTCTGGAACAGGTATGAATGGAGTGCTTTAATCATTAGATATGAAATTATTATTACAGTACAACCTCGATTGAATGAACTATATGAACCCCAATTCGTTGCAGTGAGGATTTTCATTCCCAATTGGAGATGCCTCCAGGATGCATTTCCCATGCCATATGGGCTAATTTTAAACAGCAAAATTTTATTTTCAAACTATAATAAAATAGACAACCATCAAATGAACACATCTGCAATAAAAATGTAACAGTATCTGCTGACTTCTCACGTCTCCAGCCTTAAAAGGGTCCTGGCAGTAGAGTCGGGTTCGTTCTCAATGCATAATCGAGGATTCCGGGTTTAAATCTCGGGTGGGGCAGAAATGGTTGGCCACATTTCCTTTCACCTAATGTCTCTGTTCACCTAGCAGTGAGTAGGTACTCAGGAGTTAGTCAGCTTGTTGTGGGATTGCATCCTGGGCAGGGTCAGTAATTCGGCGTTGGGGGGGGGAGCGGGACCTCGATGAAAGCCAAATGTGTATGAATACATCCTGGCTTCCTGTCCCCCGACACAATGAATTATTTATTATTATAAAAATCGATTCAAAAGGTAGCAGGAGCCATGCCTGAGTAAACGAAAACCTTGCCAACTCAAACTGAAAACAAACCATAGAATTTGGTTTTAAATTCTTGGGAATTGCCTTTAAAGCCTTGGGAATTTTGGTCGCAAGGCTTATACTATTTCTTGTAATGTTGAGTCCGACTACATAAATGGTCAGATTTCACCAAGTAATATTTAAATTTTAGCCTGTCATGAAGGTCAACAACCATGAGAGAGAGAACTTGTCTGTAAAGATATTTCACCACATCTAGCATATTTCCCATGCCCAAACCTCAACATCTCATTTTCAAAGGAAAAAGGCCCCATATATTACTTCTGTAACTGGAAATAAAAAAAATTAGATTTTGGTTTTAAATATGCATTTCCCAATGCCAGCAACTATTTCTAGTAATGTTGCTTTTATCTGTGAACTCTATCCCAACATCCAAAGCAAATCCACCCATCCCCTGCTTCAGTGAACTCTTGTTCATTGAATCGGGCTAGTAAATCTGGCTTGGAAAGTGTGTGTGTTTCAACTGGAGATTCACCGAATCGAGGTTCCACTATAATAAACTGAAGCTGGAGAAAATCCAGTGGTTTGCTACTAGAGTACTGTAGTCCCAGAACCAAGAAGGATGTGTTACAATGAAAGACTCGAGGGATAAGACCACATGTTGATGGAAGATACAAACAAACTAGGAAAGACATATTCCCAACATGCAAATTTTTAAGGAGTAAGTAATTATAAAAAGAAGGCGCCAAGCCACGAGACTATGTAGCAATAATCTATTTTGTCAATTTTTTCTAGGGAATTGACAAAATAGACTATTTAGCATGGTAAATAATCAAGGGAACATGGGTAGAAACTGGTTCTTGCTACAGAAACACAGACTTTTGTCAGTATCAGAGTAATGAAAAAATGGAATGAACTAAGTGAAGTGGTGGAGACAGACTCCATACACAACTCTAAATGTAGATATGACACATAAATAGGCATGGAAACCTCTGCACCAATTCATTGAAAGTGATGAGGGGGGGAAGAACAAAGGGCTGAAGCTCATCCCCTTACCTACTAGTTCAACTCCTGTGAGAGAATACAACTAGACCTAACTCATCCATACAGCCCCCACAGTGATTATTAGAGCTGGGTCACAGCCACAAAGCCCTTAGATTAAATTTCCATTGCAGGATAGCAACGTTCCTTTCACCTGAGGTTGTTCTGTTCACCTGGTAGTAAATAAGTACCTGGAAGTTAGGCAACTGTTGTGGGTTGTGTACTGGGGAAAAGTAAGCCGTTGGTCTACGGACGACCTTGATAAACCTATGGGAAATGAACACCTAGATGCCTACATCAACTGCTGCCCACACACCTCCACCCACCTTTATCAACAAATGCCTACTCACCCATATCAACGAGTGCTCACACTCCCACCCACCCATATAACCCCTTTACTGCCACTGGCCTACATCAACCACTACCCACACTCCAACCCACCCATATCAACCTACAAATCTCCTCTGTTTTTACATTCATCAGCATTGCATCATCTGGAAACACTGACATACGCGAGTTCGTCATCTCAGGTAGGTCGATCATAAATTACAACAGCGTCGATCCCAGAACCAAGTCTTGTGGGACCCCACTTGTTACTTTCCTCTAGTTTGAAACCTCCTCTTTGACGAGCCGGTCAGGAAAGGAGCCGAGCGGACAGCACACTGGACTTGTGATCTTGTGGTCCCGGGTTCGATCCCGGGCGCCGGCGAGAAACAATGGGCAGTTTCTTTCACCCTATGCCCCTGTTACCTAGCAGTAAATAGGTACCTGGGTGTTAGTCAGCTGTCACGGGCTGCTTCCTGGGGTGGAGGCCTGGTCGAGGACCGGGCCGCGGGGACACAAAAGCCCCGAAATCATCTCAAGATAACCTCAAGATCTCAAGAAGATTGACTCTTTGAGTTCTGTCCTTCAGGTACTCCCTTACCCAGTGCAGTATTTCTGTACTTATCCCAGCAAGCTTCTCTATCTTATGTAACAGTACTTTCACGAGGAAGTGTTAAATACTTTTTAATCTAGGAAAATACAGTCGAACCATCTTTCTTTTTCCTGTCTTATTTTAGTAACTTTGTCATAGAACTCAATCAGGTTTGTCAGGCATGACTTTCCCTTTCAAAATCTATGCTGCCCTTTCATTACAAAGTTGGTCCTCTCTAAATGTTCCACCATTCTCAACCTCCAGAACTTTTATTTATTGATTGATTTATATATATATATATATATATATATATATATATATATATATATATATATATATATATATATATATATATATATATATATATATATATATATATATATATTACAAGAAGGTACATTGGGTTTATGAAAGTACTGTACATAGCATTGATGATTTTACATTCATGTAAAGCCACTAACATGCATAGCGTTTCAGGCAGGTCCCTAATCTAACAGATAAATCTAAGGAGATAATGTGTAGCAACATTAACAAATGTTAACAGTGACAGGATTGGGTAGCGCCACTCATCCTGTGAGTGGACACACCGCCATAGTGACAATATTGGGCAGCGTCACTCATCCTGTGAGTGCACACCGCCATAGTGACAGTATTGGGCAGCGTCACTCATCCTGTGTGTGAATACACCGCCATAGTGACAGTATTGGGCAGCGCCACTCATCCTGTGAGTGGACACACCGCCATAGTGACAGTATTGGGCAGCGCCACTCATCCTGTGAGTGGACACACCGCCATAGTGACAATATTGGGCAGCGTCACTCATCCTGTGTGAACACACCGCCATAGTGACAGGATTGGGTAGCGCCACTCATCCTGTGTGTGAACACACCGCCATAGTGACAGTATTGGGCAGCGCCACTCATCCTGTGAGTGGACACACCGCCATAGTGACAGTATTGGGCAGCGTCACTCATCCTGTGAGTGAACATACCGCCATAGTGACAGTATTGGGGCAGCGCCACTCATCCTGTGAGTGGACATACCGCCATAGTGACAATATTGGGCAGCGTCACTCATCCTGTGTGTGAACACACCACCATAGCAGAATATATCCCCCCCCCCCAAAAAAAAAAACAGGAAGAAACCCCGCTGAGTTGTTTATCTTGTCACTTGTATCCAGACACAGTTACATTAAAGTATACAACATTTGAAGAAAACAAAACGAGGTTTCGGAGCAGACACTCGACCCTGCGAGAACATGTGAGTACATCTATAGACGAGTACAAACACATGGGGCTCTGATAGCCTCTTATCTGCTCAGTGACTTCCACCAGCTGGACCAAAGCAAATGATTCAGTATTAGCCAGGCAGTGGGACAAGGCAGAGCGCTGTCCTGATGCTCTACGTGTCCCGCCAGCTGTCACCAATATTGCTGACTCCCTACGTCCACAAAGTCTCTCTTTATCATTATATCTACAACTTGCTGACAGCCACAGCGCCCTCGCTAGAGGTATATTCGACAATGAAACCTGTTTTTGCTCTCTGCTTGGTGGCGAGTCTGGTGAGAGGTGAGGTGAGAAGTGTGAGAGGAGGTGCGGACACGGTGGACGCACAGAACATTGAGATTAATAAGGAGAAGTTAGTGTTGGGTGAGAGAGGCAGTCCTGAGGTGCAGGAGGAGTGGCCGCCGGGGGAGAGGGCCAGCATCACCACCCAGCCCAACATTGTCCTCCTCCTAGCTGACGACCTGGGTTATGGTGACCTCAGCATCTCTGGTCATCCTACCTCCAGGTTGGTCGCCATAGATATATAAATACAATTTAAATAATATATATTGCTCTCAGATTGTGTACATGCATTTCCTAGGACTTGTATATGGTCTCAGCAACTAGCTATGACCCTATAGTTGCTCATATAGTTAAATATTCCATTGCACTCTCTCAAATTGAGTGAATCATGTTCAGCAATGTGTGGATCTCTTAACCGTCAACATTAAACATTGTACAATAAATCCTCTAATCAAATAAATCTCAAAATAAACAATACCCAAATTTGTAACAAATTAGATGGCAAATTCCTTGGCATTCTCATTGACCACAAACTGAATTTCCAGGGCCACATTCTAAATATATCAAAAAAAGTTTCAAAAACTGTTGGCATTCTTTCTAAGATCAGATATTATGTACCCCGCCCTGCCCTGGTGACTCTCTATTACTCCCTCGTCTATCCATATCTCAACTATGGTATTTGTGCTTGGGGTTCTACTACCCAAAATCATTTACGTCCTCTAATTACTCAACACAAAGCTGCTATTAGGACAATATCCAACTCTAGCCCAAGACATCACTCGGTACCCCTACTCAAATCTCTGAATATGTTAGACATTAAGTCACTGCACATTCTCTCATGTGTATTATACATATATAAAACGCTAAACTGTAATGCCAATCCTGACCTCAAAAGCTTCATAGAAGGTTGTAACAGAACCCATGAGCACCACACCAGAAATAAATACAGTTTTGATATTCCTAGAGTACGACTTAATCAAACTAGAAATGCTCTACAAATCAAGGGACCCAGAATGTGGAATGACCTTCCCAACCATGTTAAAGACTGTACCTCTCTCAACCAGTTTAAGATAAAAACGAAGCTATACCTAATAAATTCCCTGTAACCTACCTTACCCCTCTAATGTCATCCAATGTCTGTTTTTTTTTAAAGAGCGCTGTTTGTAGACAGAATTGTATTTGTGCTGCTTTTTCAGCTATGCTTTCATTCCATGTTTTCATTTTACTCTTTATACTCAATTAGTATTAAGCTTTAGTCATTTAAGTTTTTTTATGCCCGAAACGCTTTTCGTAATAGTGGCTTTAGGCATTGTATGTACTAGCCCTAACGATAAATCCATCACTCTTTGTAAAATCTCTTTTATGTATGTACCTTACCTAAATAAACATTTTGATTTTGATTTGATTTTACAAAGCCTGATGCAACAACCTACAGGACGCCCCGTCTGGACGAACTGGCTGAGGGCGGCAGGTTCTTCACACAGTTCTACGTCACCAGCCCCGTCTGCAGCCCCTCCAGGTGAGTGTTTGGGGTCCCCAAAAGTCACGTTCTAGAACCATTGGAATTCTAAACACCATATCAGAATCAATCAGAGCGCAAGAAATCCACTAACGGGGAAAGCGGGAAATAGAAACAGAAAAATAACTGGTGGAATGGTCAATGTACTAGAAATAGAGGCTATAAAGAGAAGGATGACAAGCCCAACACAACGTATTGTAACTCTTCTTACAGAGGAACTGAAGTCTCAATCTGCTAATACATAAATAAAAATATAAATAACATGTCAAAAGGAGTAGGGTTAAACAGAAGTAGCCTAGTACGGACCAACGGAAGGATTAGGTTTTAAACAGGACAAGCCTAGTACGAACCTACAGAAGGAGTAGGACTAGTCTAGAACGAACCTAAGGAGTAGGTTTAAACAGGACTAGCCTAGCACGAACCAACAGAGGGGGGAGGGGCGGGTTTAAATAGGACTAGCCTAGCATCCACCAACTACGATCCCCACCACTCTGAGGCTATGGTCCGTGCCCCACAGAGCATCACTCCTGACGGGGCGGCTGCAGGTGCGGAGCGGGGTGTACCCAGGTACCTTCACACCAGACAGCAGCCTCGGCCTCCCACACAACGAGACCACCATCGCCGCCCTCCTCAAGGATAAGGTCAGGCGCCATTTTAAGTATTACCCTGAATTTCCTCTCATCAGCTTGTGAATAAAACAAAAAATATATTTTACTATTGAATGTATACTATTAAAATTAAATTATTTAAAGCAAATGAAGTTGAATCAGCTATATTTGTAGCAGTAATAAATAAATGTAATATAATGAAGTGGTATAATTTAAATGCTAATTTATCTCGTTATCATTTAAAGTCAATAATTTTAGTATATGCGATTCATTTTAGGAGTTAGTTAACTTATTATGGAGATGCATCTTGAGGAGGGTCAGTAGATCTAACTTGGGAGGACTTCCACATATATACACAGGCTGCCTGTCCCCAGCAAAACGAACGATAAAATCTTTTAGTTAAGCATAAACGACAATTCAAAGACTGGATCTTTTGAGATAGGTTGAACTAGAGTTTCCAAGACGAGACAGTCCAATAAGCCGAGGACAACAGACATGTTAGTTCAGGTACAATGTAGAGGTTCACTCCCTTAGTGCTGGCATCAACGACAATCATAAACAAGAAACACAAGAGCCACAACTTTCACTCCAACTCACACTTCAACTTTCATCTAGTTTTGTGTGTGTGTGTTGACAGGGTTACCGCACCCTGATAGTGGGCAAATGGCACCTGGGGGTTGGCACCACTGAAGAGTACCTCCCCACCCACTATGGGTTCGACCAGTACCTGGGAGTGCCTTACTCCCACGACATGTGCCCCTGTAAGGTGTGCTTCCCAGGCGGCCAGCCCTGCCTGGAACAGTGCTGGAACCAGGATGTGTCCTGTCCGCTCTTCAGGTAAGTTTCACATCTCCCCATATTCCAGCGCTTGTTCGCAAATTTTCATCATGCCATTCACTTCAGTGATTATAATACTTGCTTAAGGTAATACTAGTAAGGTAAGATGAAGATATATTATGTAGCTTGGGCCACACAATATCATGTATCACTGCATGATACAGTGGGTACAGAGGACGTTACTCCACATGCCCAGGCAGGGCATGATACAGTGGGTACAGACCATGTTACTCCACATACTGAGACTGGGCATGATACAGTGGGTACAGACCACGTTACTCCACATGCCCAGACTGGACATGATACAGAGGGTACAGACCACGTTACTCCACATGCCCAGACTGGGCATGATACAGAGGGTACAGACCACGTTACTCCACATGCCCAGACTGGGCATGATACAGAGGGTACAGACCACGTTACTCCACATGCCCAGACTGGGCATGATACAGTGGGTACAGACCACGTTACTGCACACTTCCAGCAACACGACGGTCGTGGAGCAGCCGGTGGACTTGACGAGCCTCACAGGGCGTCTGGTGGAGCGAGCACGAGACTTCATCCAGGACGCGGCCGCCGCTGGCAGCCCATTCTTCCTCTACTTCCCCTTCCACCATGTGAGTTATTTAGTTTTAGCCCACTGGCTATTGATCCACACCCGGTTCCATTTCCTAACTATGTTCTCTTTACATCTCTATTTCGTTTTCCATTCCATAGCTTCCATTTCTTGGATTTTGATTTTCTCTGTCATTTCCTCTAATTCCTTGTTCGTTATCTGTCCATTTCATATACGTTTCTTTATAATTCTGCTAAGCGAATTTCCCTTTCCATTCCCACTTCATCACTACGATATTTCACCCATTTATCCGTTATTCGTCAACTACTTCGTCTTTCACCATGTATAAGTTTACAAGTTTAAGTTGACCAGTCCAGTTTTCTCCCATTTCCACCATCATCATATCCTGATTGCCCAGCTTAGGAGTGGTCCAGATGCTCCATCAGACACACCCATTCATCTCATGAGTAAGCCTGAAATGAGTAAAACTTACTGGGGGCATGATGAACCTGCCGCGAACACTATGCTTACACTAATGGCTCTGTTCAAATGTCAACAGGTCGCACTGCAGCAGCCAGTAAGGTATACGCACATCAGTCACAGGTTTAGGGCTCCTTGTATGAATATCCCTAAGAATAAGACGTCCACCATGCCCGAGCGTTCCGTTATAACCAATATTCTACATAAAACATGGTACCGCTCTCTCTGCCTCTTTTCAGCAGTACGAAGGTGTGCCCCAGGGTAGTGTTCTGAGCACTACTCTTTTTCTGGTTGCCCTCAATGGTCTTCTTTCCTCTCTTCCTTCAGGTGTCTTCTCCGCTCTCTATGTCGATGATCTTACCCTTTGCTGTCAGGGTGATGATTCGCCTCTCCTTCAGCGCCGGCTTCAACTTGCGATCGATGCCGTGTCGTCTTGGGCCACCGATCATGGCTTCAAGTTCTCTACTTCTAAGACTTGTGCCATGTCTTTTACTAGGAAACGGGTCGCTCTTCGTCCCTCTTTGTCACTTTATGGTCATCCCCTTGAGTACAAAGATTCCGCGAAGCTTTTGGGGTTATTCCTTGACACTCGTTTGTCTTGGTCTCCCCATATCTCTTACCTCCGTGTTGAGTGCTCTAAGGCCCTTACCCTCCTTCGGGTCTTGTCCCATACTTCTTGGGGGGGGCAGATAGGCGCACTCTCCTTGCTTTACATTCCTCTCTCGTCCTGTCTAAGCTCGATTATGGTTGCCCTGCTTACTCATCTGCTTCTCCTTCTACTCTTCGTCGTCTTGATGCTTTGCACCATACTGGGTTGCGCCTTAGTTCTGGTGCCTTTCGTTCGACTCCCGTCCTTATCTTGTATGTTGACACTGGCTTCCTGTCTCTCCAGGACCGCCGTGATCGCTACTGTCTTCGCTATCTTGCGCGGTCCTTACAACATCCTTCCTCTCGCCTCTGTCGTGCTTTAACTTTTACCCCTCCTGCGGTTCCTGTTCCTCTTCACCACCTCCCTCTTTCTGTCCGGTTATCTCGATTACAGGATTCTCTTTCCGTTCGTGTTTCTAATGTTTCTCCTCGTGTTGTTCCTTCTTTGCCCCCCCCCGTGGAGAGTCCCCCTTCCGCAGTTTTGTACATCCTTGACCCGCATCACTAAAGCTTTTACCCCTCCTACAGTTCTAAAACGCCTTTTCCTTGAGCACTTTTCTTCTCACTCCCGCTCTGTTTCTGTCTTCACTGATGGGTCTAAGTCTGCGGACGGTGTTGGCTACTCTGTTGTTTTTCCTGATCGCACTTATATGTGTCCCTTACCTCCGGAGACTAGCATCTTTACAGCGGAGCTTTATACTATTCTCTATGCTCTTCGTCTCCTGCTTTCTTGTTGTCAGTCTTTTTTTGTAGTTGTTGTTGACTCGCGTAGTCCCCTCATGGCTCTCGGGTCCTTTAATCCAGTTCATCCAGTAGTTGTCGAGATCCAGCATTGGCTGTTTCTTGTCCACAGTAAATTTAAGTCGGTTGAGTTTTGTTGGGTTCCCAGCCATATCGGTGTGTCTTTAAATGAGCGTGCAGATGCTGCCGCCAAGGAAGCTGTCCGCTCTTGTCCCATCTCTCGTAAAGGTATTCCATATTCCGACTTTTACCCGGTTATCCATTCCTACATTCTTACCCGTTGACAGGCTTTCTTGGTCGTCTGTTACTGGTAACAAACTTCGTACTCTTAAATGTTGTGTTTCCTCGTGGCCGTCCTCCTGCCACCGTAACCGGCGATGGGAAACAGCTCTGGCGAGGTTGCATATTGGCCATACTCGCTTAACCCATGGTCACTTGATGGAGCGGCGCCCTGCTCCTTATTGTCCCAATTGCATTATCCCTCTTACGGTCGTGCATGTCCTTGAATGTCCTGACTTCCAGGATGAGCGTGTCTTGCTTTCCGACCGCCCCTCACGGTCGTCTGTCCCTCAATGGAATGCTTGGTGACTCGGATACTTTTGATATCGTTCGCCTTATGCGTTTTTGTCCTCGTATTGGCATCCTTGGTGATATTTAGCGCCCTCTGATTATTCCGCACATTTGATGGTGCTACATAGCCTTCCCGGTTTGGTGCCTTCTTTTGATAATTACTTACTTCTACATAAAACACAGGTACACCATCCGCAATTCGCCTCGACGGATCACTACGGGAGGAGTGAACGAGGAGCCTTCGGCGACTCCCTGGAGGAGCTGGACTGGGCTGTAGGTCAGGTCGTCGACCAGCTCAACAACCTCAACCTTATCAACTCGACCCTAATATGGTTCACCTCAGACAACGGGTAGGTCACGACCCAGGTGTGTGGGTTATTAAACTATCTGCATACGCAAGTTGCATACACGAAGGCGCTCAGACATATCTTCGTTTCTATGTGGTTGTAATTCACGTTTTTTTTATATATATACATATGGTCCTGGGTTCGATATTGTTATAAATGTGGGCACTATGGGGGATCTAGTATTATTATGGAGTAGGGTCAGCAGTTAGAATTAAGATGTCGAATTAGAATCACAAGTAATGGAGATCATATAGGCCCGGCCTCCAATAAAAATATAAAACAGTAATGTCTACAGTGGCTTCCAGAAAAGGTCAGCTTAGAGGTAGATCACTGATCTCCTACACAGGAAGAATGGATACTCCTTTAAAACTAATTTATTAAACCCTCTTAACAACCCCCCATATACATTCACAACAATAACAATAATTACTTTACCACACTATCTTACGTTAAAAGCCTTGGTCCACATAGACAGGATACAAGGTTTACACTGGGGACAAGCTAGGGTAAAGTCTACTAGGCAAGGGACACTAGCAAGGACTCTAGGTAGCTTACTGGTACTACTGGAGCCCACGTGCTTCCACTGGGACCCCCCCCCCCTTAGAGTAGCTTAGCAATATAAACACTAGTGATACCCTAATTAATTAATACTATACACATTAATACACACTTATGCCAGAAACGAGAATACAGCACATTACTTAGCTTGGTAAACTAGACACAGAATAAGGTAAGGGAGAGAAGCAGGAGGAAGGGGCGAGGGATGCAGAGCAACACAGTAGAGATGTTTACACCTCGACGCCAGCCAGAGAAGACCACTTCAGCCTCTAGTCCCAGAACTCCTGAGTTAACTCGCTGCCGGCCGACTACTCGGCTAATCGTACAGCAGCCCTATATCCAAGTTTACTCAGATCTACTTTACTAATACTTTCTAATCATTTGTAAACATAGTTGATGCCTATTTTATTAATTAATAATCAACCACAAGCTCAGTCTTTAAATGCTCGGTGAGAAACAAGATTCGTCTTACGTCTGGCAAGGAAGATACAAACAGAGACGCGTCGACAGGCGCCTCAAATAATATAAAGTCATTTATTTAGCTCAATTTGACCTCTGGTTTCTACTGATGAACCCAGGGTCGTAACAGATTCCTAATATCTAATATCAATTAGATATTTTAAAAGTTTACACATGAGTTTCTATTTAATTGACTCATTAAATGAGTACTATTAATGAGTGTTTTGAATTAGACCGAGCCTGAGGCGGAAAGAGCGCGGAGGATGCGCAGGACCGCTGCGCTGTGGCAAGGGGACCACGTGGGAGGGAGGAGTCAGGGTGCCAGCCATCGTCCATTGGCCCCCGCACATCACCCCAGGTCTGTGTTACTAGCCCACTCTTATCGCGTTATATCTCTTCATTACTCTGCCATCAACATTCCATTTTAAGATCCTTTTGACTGTTCTCCCTAAGCTACAATTTAGTTTAAGTGAGTGAGTGCCAGCTGTATCAGATCACAGCACTTGAGACAATTAAGCAAGTCCAAGCTATGTCTGGGTACAAGTGACAGGATGAACAACCCAGCGGGTTTTCTTCCTATTGGAGATGTTTCCCATTAGTACATGCTGCTATGGCTGTATGTCCACTCACACAATGAGTGGCGCTGCCCAATAAACTCGCCCCTCGGGGCAAAATTTAAATCACAGCCGACTGGAGGGTATCTTAACCTTGACATTCCCTGAACTACAAGTAACATACACGTCTATCAGAAAAAACTAGTAACGAAAATCCAGTACTTTTAGAAGGAACAACACTTGGCACTATTGATTCTGTTATAAATGATTTACGGCCATGTGAACACTATACTTACACTAATGGCTCTGTTCAAATGTCAACAGGTCGCACTACAGCAGCCTGTAAGGTATACAATATAACAGATGTACACAGACAATGTCAGCCTAAACACCTGGCTTAGCTCCACACATGCACAATTAGCTTCACTACAACTGGCTATTAATGCACTCAAAAATAATTGTCTGTGATTCAAAGTCAGCTCTTCAGGCACTTGAACACCCAGCATGTAAAACAGATACAAGGAATGTTGTAACATCCATCATAAACTACATAAATAATATACATGGCAAGAGTTTCAACACCTCATATGGATGGCTACCACCTCATATAGGTGTTGTCTAACGTGATGACACGGACAAGACAGCTAAAGCTGTCCACGATATAAGCTTAATTTATATTTATACACAGGCTACCTTCCCCTCCGGCAAAATTATTTAATTATTATCAGGTCGGTGTATGGGACTGGCGTCGACCCTTGACGTGCTGCCCACCCTGGCTACCCTGGTCGACCTCGACACCTCTGACCTCACTCTCGACGGCGTCGACATCTCTCCCCTCCTCAGGGACCCACTGGCTCAGGTGAGTCGGTGGACAAGACCCTAAATTCTCCCCAGGGTCTCTCTCTCCTAAATTCTATAACATGCAAGTGTACCAGAGTTAGCCCTCTCGGCGCTCACTGGAATACGACGCGTGTGTAGCTAACATTAATCACTAGAACATGATCTATGATCATTGGAGCTATACAATAGTATCGAACACTCGTTCCTGTATACTCCAGCATTAATAAATTAACCAATTGTTAATTCTATCATTAACACTGGATCACCACTGTACCACCAGAGTCCCCGGAAGATGTACCCAGTGTACCCACAGGCGCCTACGCAGTCTCTTGGGCCTTTCGCTGTTACAAATGGCACCTACAAGGCCCACTTCTACACCTTGGGGTCAGGTGAGCTATGCCAGGCACTCTGTGGCACGGGGGGAGGGGGGAGGGGAATCTACAGAACTTTACACTGTGCTTGGACTTGATCTCATTTTACTGTTACTCGTTGCCTAATAACTGTTTTATTGCCCTCAGCCCTGTCAGACGGGGGCAACTACGACCCCATGTGTCCGGCCAGCCACCCCCTCACTCCCCACAACCCTCCACTCCTCTACAACCTCCAGCACGACCCTGGCGAGCGCTACGACCTCAGCAACGACACCAAGTACCTGTGAGTTCGATGGATACCGGATGGCATTCTCAAATCTACTTTGTATAGCGGTTAACATGCACGAACGTACAGGGAGGGGATATTGAAGAGTTTCATTTAAAAAATGTAGAATGTATGTTAGGGTGAAAAGAATTATTAGGGGAAAGCGCCAAGCCGTTACAACTATAGCACTGGGAAGGGATCAGGATAAGGATTTGGGAAGGGACGGGGGAGAGGAACGGTGCCCAACCGGTCGGGGATTGAACGCCGACCTGCATGATGTGAGACCGTTGCTCTACCGTCCAAGGGGAATGCTATACTGTCTGTCTTGTTCCCCAAACAAAGGGAACAAGAGTACCCAAATGAGCCACAGAGACACTAGAAAAAATTATTTCAGTGTCAGAGTAGTTAACAGATGGAATGCATTAGTAGTGATGTGGTGGAGGCTGACCCCATACACAGTTTCGAATGTAGATATGATAGAGCCCAGTAGGCTCAGGAATCTGTACAGCAGTTGATTGACAGTTGAGAGGCGGGACCAAAGAGCCAGAGCTCAACCCCCGCAAGCAGACTTAGGTAAGCATCAGCACGATATACTTGAGTTAATTTTGCCCATAAAATGTTGTATAGTGATCACTCCGCTCTTGAACACAATGGCGTGAACGGATTATTAAATTATTAGTTTGTTATATATTTTTCGAGTCATGTAATTATCATACTGAATTGTTTAATAATTCAAAGGTAGTCAGATGTTTCACGTCTTCAAGACGCAGTAGTAACTCTGGGTTCCACTCTCACATAACTCACTCGAACGGAATAATTGGGACTGAACTCCCATTTGTTATTCCGTTCCATCCGGCGTCGACTGGCCGGATGGAACGGACACTTTCACACACACACTTTCGCCCGTCATCGCTAATTGTTGCCATATTTTTTTCAACAGCGAGGTGTTGAATATGCTGACACAGTGGCGAGAGGAGCACATGGCAACCGTGGCATGGATGGAGGCGCGAACCACAGTCGTCGACCCGATGGCGGAGCCCTGCTGTACCCTTCCGTCCTGTAGTCCCTTCCCCGGGTGCTGCGACTGTCCTGCCCCGTCTCGTCCTCTCCCGTCTCGTCCCGTCAACCACATCAAGGGCTACCTCCTCCAAGGCCCACAACCACCAACATTCTGGCAGTGGCTGTAGATTATTACACACTCTAGCACTATGCTGCGTCATCTGAGTCAGTCTTCAGTCTTGTTATGCTAGGGGCTGTAATATGAGTATTTGAACACTATAGCAACATAATTGTGTATAATAAAAATGACAGCAAACCCTAAACATTCTTATTCTTAGTATATTTAACCTAAATACCATGATAATGTATATTTAAGAACTAGTATGGTCTAGTATATTAGCCTGAAAGCACTCCCCTGTTAAAGTATTTTTTTTTGCTGTAAACCCTTTCAGTTTCTTATAGTATGGAATGAACTACTCATGTGATCCCGTCTTCAATATCTGTACAATATTTTCCCATCTTTAGATATCGGGAAGTTCTTATTGTAAAAATATTCTATCAGGAGAAAGCGTCAAGCCAGATCACCTACGTCTATATAGCACTTGTAAGGGGTCAGGATAAGGATTTGGGATCTCGACAACAAAAATGAATTGATGAGGGGACTTCTGACAAGCCGTCGGCTTGCTGTGCTCCTCAAGGCCACTAAACATAGTGACCCTCAGGTAAACAAATCCCGATTGATTGTCGTAGTTTTGTAAGGTTATACTAACAAAGTGTGCTCATTTTCTTTGGAGAGTAAAAATAAGCTTGAAAGAAAACGTGCGCTGCTCAGTGGATTTTATGAAGGATAGACTCGTCAATAAATCCCTTGAGCCAACACACTTGGGTCTCGCCAGCAATTGGTTGGGTGTCAGCGCGGTTAACCTACGTCTATGGATCGGTGGACGTTGAAAAGGCCCGACCTACTTGGATTGGGTTTTTGGAGCTGACCTTACTTCCTGCAAGGTCAGCGTTCGATTCCCGATAGTCCAAGTGCTTGGGCACTAACTACTCCATCACCCTCGTCTTGATATCCCAAGTCCTTGTCCTCATATCTCAGCTACGTTCCCGACTCCCAATCAGGGATCCCAGGTTCGATTCACGGGCGGGACAGCAATGATTAGGCACGTCTCCTTTCTCCTAATGCGTCTGTTCACCTAGCCGAAAATATGGAGTTAAACAACTGTTGAGCTGTTACAGTTGTGCTTGCGCGGGTTGAACTTCGGCTCTTTGGTCCCGCCTCTATTGTTGGTTTACATCTTAGGGAGGGTCAGTAGTTCGACCTTGCGGGGACCTCAATACAAGCTTAAGGTATATATATGAACACACCGCCATAGTGACAGTATTGGGCAGCGTCACTCATCCTGTGAGTGGACACACCGCCATAGTGACAGTATTGGGCAGCGTCACTCATCCTGTGAGTGGACACACCGCCATAGTGACAGTATTGGGCAGCGTCACTCATCCTGTGAGTGGACACACCGCCATAGTGACAGTATTGGGCAGCGCCACTCATCCTGTGAGTGGACACACCTCCATAGTGACAGTATTGGGCAGCGTCATTCATCCTCTGAGTGAACACACCGCCATAGTGACAGTATTGGGCAGCATCATTCATCCTGTGAGTGAACACACCGCCATGGCAGCATATATGTTCGCCCCCAAACAGGAAGAAACTCCGCTGGGTTGTTCATCTTGTCACTTGTACCCAGACATAGTTGCATTAAAGTATACATTTGAAAAACCGGGGCATCGGAGCAGACACTCGACCTTGCGAGAACATCTAACTGAGTACATCTGTAGATGAGTACAAACACATGGGGCTCTGATAGCCTCTTATCTGCTCAGTGACTTCCACCAGCTGGACCAGCGCAAATGATTCAGCATTAGCCAGGCAGTGGGACAAGGCAGAGCGCTGTCCTGTTGCTCTACGTGTCCCGCCAGCTGTCACCAATATTGCTGACTCCCTACGTCCACAAAGTCTCTCTTTACCATTATATCTACAACTTGCTGACAGCCACAGCGCCCTCGCTAGAGGTATATTCGACAATGAAACCTGTTTTTGCTCTCTGCTTGGTGGCGAGTCTGGTGAGAGGTGAGGTGAGAAGTGTGAGAGGAGGTGCGGACACGGTGGACGCACAGAACATTGAGATTAATAAGGAGAAGTTAGTGTTGGGTGAGAGAGGCAGTCCTGAGGTGCAGGAGGAGTGGCCGCCGGGGGAGAGAGCCAGCATCACCACCCAGCCCAACATTGTCCTCCTCCTAGCTGACGACCTGGGTTATGGTGACCTCAGCATCTCTGGTCATCCTACCTCCAGGTTGGTCGCCATAGATATATAAATACAATTTAAATAATATATATTGCTCTCAGATTGTGTATATGCATTTCATAAGGCTTGTATATGGTCTCAGCAACTAGCTGTGACCCTATAGTTGCTCATATAGTTAAATATTCCATTGCACTCTCTCAAATTGAGTGAATCATGTTCAGTAATGTGTGGATCTCTTAACCGTCAACATTAAACATTGTACAAAGTCTGATGCAACAACCTACAGGACGCCCCGTCTGGACGAACTGGCTGAGGGCGGCAGGTTCTTCACACAGTTCTACGTCACCAGCCCCATCTGCAGCCCCTCCAGGTGAGTGTTTGGGGTCCCCAAAAGTCACGTTCTAGGACCATTGGCATTCTAAACACCATAACAAGTCGTGGTGCACATTATCCGTCAATCTAATGTGTGTTAGGCCTATATAAATAATCCTAGGCCAAACACACGCAATCTTAGATTTATTTCAGTACACTCATCCTCCTGAAATGATAATACTTGAAGTAACTATTTGGTGGAAAGTACCAACATGTAATGATGGTCCAAGAGAAAAGTAGTTTTTCTAGTATTAATTTCATAGTCCGAAGAAAATTAATCTAAAAAACAAACTTAAATATTCATAGTCTTAGTATAGCACACATAAGCACTATTTTAGGCCTAAGGTAGCGTTTATTAGGCCTAGGGTTGCTAGGAGACGTTGGGAATTAATATTTATGCTGTGGTTAATAAGTTTCCGGCTTGTCCAAATTCAATAACACAAAAAGCTAACATTCAGGTGGTCCATCACTACATATCGGTACTTTCATTTTAGGAGGATAGGCTGAATTAAGCGCATAATGCATGTACTACTAGGCCTAGGAAATAAAATACTACAAAACGGATTATTTTTTTTTGGGGGGGGGGTGGGGTTGCAATTAACGGTCCATAATATGTACTTTTATCTACAGTAACCCATCCTACTGTTATTTATTGATGTCATGGATACATGAAAACTTTTAATCCCAGGAATTATAAACCCACCCTTATGGAGACAGATTAATTTACGTTATGGGATATAAGTAAGAACGCAAGAAATCCACTAACGGGGAAAACGGGAAATAAAAACAGAAAAAAAACATTGGTGCAATGGTCAATGTACTAGAGGCTATAAAGAGAAGGATGACAAGCCCAACACAACGTATTGTAACTCTTCTTACAAGGAGACTGAAGTCTCAATCTGCTAATAAATAAATAAATAAAAAGTCAGAAGGAGTAGGTTTAAACAGAACTAGCTTAACACGAACCAACAGAGGAAATAGGTTTTAAACAGGACCAGTCTAGTACGAACCTACAGAGGAGGGTGGGGGTTAAACAGGACTAGCCTAGTACGAACCCATAGAAGGGATGGGGGTTAAACAGAACTAGCCTAGTACGAACCCATAGAAGGGATGGGGGTTAAACATTACTAGCCTAGTACGAACCCATAGAAGGGATGGGGTTAAACATTACTAGCCTAGTACGAACCCATAGAAGGGATGGGGTTAAACATTACTAGCCTAGTACGAACCCATAGAAGGGGATGGGGTTAAACAGGACTAGCCTAGTACGAACCCATAGAAGGGATGGGGGTTAAACAGGACTAGCCTAGTACGAACCCATAGAAGGGGGCGGGGTTAAACAGGACTAGCCTAGCATCCACCAACTACGATCCCCACAACTCTGAGGCTATGGTCCGTGCCCCACAGGGCGTCACTCCTGACGGGGCGGCTGCAGGTGCGGAGTGGAGTGTACCCGGACGCGTTCTCCCCAGACAGCAGCCTCGGACTCCCACACAACGAGACCACCATCGCCGCCCTCCTCAAGGATAAGGTCAGGCGCCATCTTAAGTATTACCCTGAATTTCCTCTCATCAACTTCGTGAACAAAACAAAATCTATATTTTACTATTTAATGTATACTAGAAAAATTACATTATTTAAAGCAAATGAAGTTGAATCATGTTTGTAGCAGTAATAAATAAATGTAATGTAATGAAGTGATATGATTTAAATGTTAATTTATCTCGTTATCATTTAATGTCAATAATTCTAGTGTACGAGAATCATTTTAGGGAATATAAGTGAGTGGGTTTCGAACTCTGTGTTTCTTCTAGCTGGGAAGCTGTCAATATGTCTAAAAGATAAACGTTATCGCCTGAGAAACAAAGCAGCATCACTCCCTTCTCGAACGTAGCGTAGCGTATCGCAGCGAGGTGACCTGGCAGGCGTTTTACCCAACCACTTGGGCTGGACGGTAGAGCGACGGTCTCGTTCCTTTCATGCTGGTCGGCGTTCAATCCCCGATCGTCCAAGTGGTGGGGCACCATTCCTACCACCCCCCCCTTCCCATCCCAAAATCTCATCCTGGACCCTTCCAAGTGCTATATAGTCGTAATTGCTTGGCACTTTCCTCTGATAACTCCCTCCCACACGCACGTTTCCTTTCACCTAATGTCTCTGTTCACGTAGCAGTAAATAGGTGCCCAAGAGTTAGTCAACTTGTTATGGAGACGCATCTTGAAGAGGGTCAGTAGTTCTACCTTATGAGGACTTCCATATATATGCACAGGCTGCCTGTCCCCAACAAAACGAACGATAAAACCTTTTGTTAAGCGTAAAAGACAATTAAAAGACTGGATCAGTTACTTTTGAGACAGGCTGAGACAGTTTCCAAGACGAGACAGTCCAATAAGCCGAGGACAACAGACATATTAGTTCAGGTACAATGTAGAGGTTCACTCCCTTAGTGAACCGAACAACGCAAATCATAAATAAGAGATACAAGAGCCACAACTTTCACTCTAACTCACACTTCTACTTTCATCTAGTTTTGTGTGTGTGTGTTGACAGGGTTACCGCACCCTGATAGTGGGCAAATGGCACCTGGGGGTTGGCACCACTGGAGAGTACCTCCCCACCCACTATGGCTTCGACCAGTACCTGGGAGTGC